GTAATGATTGATTTAAAATCTTTGTTTTATTCCATTGCGAGGAGCTGAGGTGGCGGCGCATAAACGTCTAGACTTACAATCTTTTTCTGTTCATTGTAGGATTCCCGCAAGAAATCCAAGAATAAACAGAAAAGAGAATGATTATCGTAACAAAAAAACTCGCACCTTTCCTTGTCATATGCATTTTGAACCACATCCCCTGCATAAAACCCTTCTAGGAGTCAGCCCATTTATTCACTAACGTGTACCTATCCGGTGGACATTTTCTTTAACATCATGATGAGCTGTCCTTCGTAGGCTTCTGCGTCAGCACTTTTTCAACTTTATGACTTGTGTAATAGAGTTATATAAATGTTTGGGACAGCACACCTCATTAGTTCCGCACTTTCTAGACTGCGGTGAAGCGAATAAGCTGAAACATAAGCCGGACATAACTTTGTAGCAACCTTGAGTTACCTCGTTCAATAATTAAAACACATTGTTAGGTGAATGTCAGAGAAGTCCCAACTTCCCATATATAATTCTAACAGTGTTGAGACTTCTGAAGAAACTTTGAAAATTGAATTCTTTGCAGTCTTTGGCTGCTGGCAGAACATTATTACAGACGGAATAGAGTCGTTCCGCCGTTATTGGCCTCCACTCAGTTATAAAGGTCATATTCGTTTAAGTTCGAGTAGTCTTTTGGGTATGAAAATATATGCAGCCTATGATTGCGATGGCGAAATGCATTGGCTATCATTGACGGATTGATGATCTCTGAGTATTTTATGTAGCCCTCGTGCTAAGGAGGCAATTCAATCCTGCCTTATGCATCTTGCGGGTATCAACCTCAGTCATTGATGTAATAGCACAATATATATATGACGCTAATCTTCCATTCACCTTCTTACCGTGGCAACACGGTTGGGCTCAAATAAAGCTTACTATCTGCAGTATACTCTGCTCCAAAACCACAGCTATGATAGCGGCGAAGATTCATAGAAACTTAAATCTTCGCGTCAGCCGCAACGAGCGCAAACGGAAGGTTTCTGCACGAGTAGTGTGTCCTAGTATAAACCTCTCCGTTATAGCCCATGTTGAAACTGCTATGCTCAAAAACTTTGCTAAACAAGTTTCAAAACCTGAACTAAGCATTTGCAGATGGAAATTCTACCCGTAAAGCTCACGGGTGAAAATTTCATCTGCTAAGCAAGAATGCATAGCTGAGAGACGTTATGCATTCTTGCGTAGCCGGAGAACAATAGTACATAATTATTCATTTGGTGTCGCCCTTATTATAATCCAATTTTCGTACCGAGCGCTGTGAAGTATCGCAGACACTTGCTCACTCGAAGCCTTTAGGCTTGGTAAGGTTCACTACGGGGCCGGGAGTAAAGTACCCGCTTGTTGGCTTTCTTGCTGCCAACTACGGCGAACTAAGTGACACTTGGTGGCAACCGGCAACTTGTCGCGTGGCATCGTTCCGCAAAATTTATCGGTGAGATGGCTATTATTGGACCGAATATTCGTGTTCGAATAAAATAATTCGAATACCCGATATTTGAATATTTACAAAAGCGTATTTAATCGATTTTTTGAATGGTCGAATATTCCGAAAAGACGCCTGTTCGATTATTTGAATAGTCGAATATATTGTAGCATCGACATCCGAATAATTGACTTCGAATAGTTTTGGAACTGAGATTCGAATAATATTCGATTGTTCGAATGTCTGCGAAATCATCGAATATTTCTTCGATCATACCTGCAAAATCATCGAATATGATTGAGATTGCGTGTTTATGGTTAACTGAAATATTCAAATAATTCGATTTTTGCCACACGAACAGTCGAATAATCGAAAACGCACTAATTCTGTTATCGAATGTGAATATTCGGTCGTGCTCAAATATTCGATGATTCGAATAGTCGAATTCAGAAGATCCTCATTATTCGAACGTTCAAATCCGAATAAATTTTAAATGGCGATATGAATAATATTCATTCGTTCAAATATTTTTTCACGAACGAATACCCGATATTCGTTTATTCGGAAAAATTTTCCGATTTTCCAACTATAGTGACTATTACCCCTTTGGTTCCAATTTCATCAAGTTGGCTCAAATTGCGACATCCATGGACCGATCTCGGCCTGAGGTGCGAGATGCATCTATTTCGGCACCTGCCGGCATGTTTGAAAAGTTTTCACGATCTTATGACGTGTCTCGGGGATGCTTAGATCATGTCCAAAACAGACATAGGGCGTTGTAGCGTGCAATTTACTGTCGGTAATTAAGGTAAAACATGGTTTTTCAATTTTTCCTTTCATTTCTTCATTTTCTTAAAAATCCAAATATTGGGTTGAGGAATAAAATAGTAGCGCTTTTTTCAAAAACTTTTATTCAAAGAAAAATCAATGGTTTTAGCAATAAATCAACTAATAATGTATTCGTCGTTGCTGTTTACTATCTATTCCCACCTATCGACCAATTTGTCGATGCCATTTTGCCAAAAGGCAGGCCGCGTCATGACAAAATCGCCATTCTGAAACTTTGCAAACCATTTAGGTGTTGTAGACTCGACTAAAACACCTTCTCCGTAGGCGTTGCACATCTCCCGAGCTGCCTCAGCAGTGTTTCGGCCTCGATGAAATGCGAAAAACAGCAGGCGTCAAAAATGCTTATTTTTATCGCTTGGATACTCCATTTCTAAGCCTCCAAAGTAATGAAAGACAAAACTCCTCAAAAGGACAATTACCACTGTTTTGTAAAGCAGAAAATGCTCTAACGAAGAAATTACTGTACTTTTTGTTAAGCAGCAAAACATTGTTAACAGTATAAAAAATATAAAAACGCTACGAACTTATTCCTACCTAATGTAATATCTAATATATAGTCTAGATATAAAATCTGAATATTTTACATCATATCTAAAGAAAACCTTTTCTCAAACACTTATTCGATTTAAGACATATGATATGCATTTACTCAGGTCATTTTGGCTCTTTGCCAATCTTTTCTTCTGAATTTGAATCTACGTAAAGGATGTTTAGTTTTCTTATATTGAGTTATATAATCTTTTCGCTACTTTTGGCTGAAAAAAATGCTTTTCGATTTTGAGCATGTTCAGTTGCTCCCGTATAATTCGACGAGAAAGCATAGAAGTATGGTGACGATAATGTTCTTTTATTATTCACGCTGTTGATTGTATTAAAGGAAAAAAGGAGTTTGGGAATAAGATTGCAAAAGTGCTGTAAAATTCATATGAACCTATCACAGAAGTGAAGGTGACAAACAAGCCACAACTGTCAAACTTGATACTTTCAATAGGTCTGCGCGAAATTTGTTGCCGCCAATTATATGTACCTTCATTAGTTGCCACGTAGAGTTGCCAACTGC